TGAGATTTGTATCTTGTCTTTCAGCATTCTCTTCAGTAATGTAGTTCACATTTTATGGTTTTGATTCTCTCATATTGTAGATTTAGTTTTATTTTTCTGTAGATTTTCCCTGGAGCCAAAACAGAAGGAAGGGGAAATCTCCACTGTAAGAGTCTTATATTTATGAGGTTTATGATGACAAGGAGAAGGATGGTCCTTAAAAAATAGCTCCATTTGTTTTTAAACTTTTGTACACATTTTAAAATTACGTGTGGAACACAGTTTTGTGCCTGTAAAATAAACTAAAAATATCTTGTGATGTTGTTTTTAATAAAGCAGGTGGCTCATCTTTCAAAATCCCATTTTAGCCAGGCTGTGATTTTCAATGAAACCTGACATGTTCATTTTTGCCAGACTTAGCCCCCAAGGCTTGCTGAAAGTCATTTGAAAAAACCTTCTTAATAGATCAGTTTTCTTTGCTGAAGCTGTAGCATCTCCTGTATTTATAGAGATTTGATTCCTTTGAATCTGTATTAGCTGAGCAGCAAGCTAACTCCAGTGACATATTTAACGAAGTAGGCTAGTTATACAACATTAAAGAACTATATATCCTGGAAAATATTTAGTGAGCTCCTCTATATATTGACAACTATATCTTCATTTTTTCATGTATTGTAGAGATTAATCCTCAGGAATTTATTGGCATAATTGATGACAGCTGGGTAATTGGAGCCAGACTTGCAAATATGTTAATTATTGTTGCAAATGATAGAGAGCACTGGGACATATTCAGATCTCGTTTGAATCCATTGACTTCTCTGAGCTTGTAGAAGATTTTGTATGTTAATTGCATGAATTTTTTTCAAAAAAGCCTTCCAGTCTCTTGTTCCACATTTTATTAAAAAAAACAAAAAACAAAAAACAAACAAACAAAAAAAAACCAGCAAACCAACAAAACAACAGCAGTCTGCTAGCTGCTCATAAAGATACTCTGCGTAACAGAGTGGATAATCAGTCTTGTTTTCTGAATAAGCTGGGCTGTTTACTTATAACAGTGTGAGCAGAATAACAATGACATAAGAAATGAGAGATGTTTCTTTTGTAGTCTTGCTTCTACAGAATAAGAAAAGGAAACTTTTCTTTCCGCCCCGCTATGTTTTTTATTATCAAAAATGTACGTGCATCTTTCTTTGTTCTTACCTCTCCTCAATATCATTTTTGTAAGTTTAACATTTTTAAACACTATACCAGCTTGTGGCATACCCATCTCACTACAGACTTCTTTAAAATTCCATGAATTAAGTTGGAACTTGTATCTTTTCCCTATGCGCTGCTCGAACAGAAGTTTGCACGTTGAATATAGCACTGGTATCTGCAGGTCGCTTTCCCTGCATCATTTCATGTTGAAGGTAAAATTTGAAAGGATGAGAAGAGAGACAGCACAAATAACCTTAGCTCCGTACAGGATGACAGTCCCAGCTCTCATGTTAAATGTGGCATCCGGGATTGTCCTCAAACACTTAGTACTGCTGAAGTGAATCTTTTATGTATCCTAGATGATGAGTGGGAGACAGCAATTTGCTGATGTTCTCCCAGTCAACTTGCTACTTGTAAGAGATGCTTGCCAAGCCAGAAGATGAGTATTGATTGATCCTGTGAATAGCTTCCTCAGTAAGAACTGGTCTCAATAAAAGATGCTTGGATGTTTGAAGTTTCATATATTTTCCACAGAGAGAAAACAACATTCATTTTTCAGACACCAGTGTCTGAGCTTCACATCACAGGAGAAGACTGAGGACTTCCCATTTACATGACTCATGTGCTCCCACATCAAGAATAGATCTAGAAAACAGCAAAGGTGCCTATTATCTGAATTTAAGCATCTCTAAATAAATAAAACAGCACTAAAGGGAGTGGTATCTTCAGGTATATGACATAAGGAGAGAATATAACATGAGGAACAGAAAGGTAGAAAAAATCTGGAAATTTTATTCTGAAGGAAAAATGAGACTGCATCTTTCCACTTGCTTGAATTTACAAGTCACTCGTGTATCCAACATAGAAAAAAATTTTAAAAGTAGCACTGTTTCTGCATCTGTCTTCTGAATTTCCTCCTTTCACACCTAAGAATATATACCCAGTGCAGTGTACTTTTAGAATTTTCCTGCATATTAGAATAATCATCATAATTGATTTGGTAACTCCCTCTTAAAAACCTTAATGTGAATACTATTCTTTCTCTGACCATAACAGAACATTTAAAATTAATTTGAGTTATTTTTGGTATGTTAGCATTGCAAGAGAGGGTCTACCTTACATAAGGCATACCTCATGTTCTTGGGAGTTTTGAAATGAAGAGGTAAAAGATGATGGAGCTAGTATGCTAGTTGAAGGTGAAACTATTTTGTAGTAAAATGTCAGTATAATGACAAAATAATTTGTTCTTGCATAAATGAACTGTTTGCCACAAAGTTATTTAGCTTGTGCTTTGTTGTTTGCTCTGCAAATGGTTGTTGGCTTTTCTTTCCAATATACAAAGGTTATTTGTTTTGATATTTCAGCTCTCCACTACGAACAACCCATACAAGGTATGCATTTGAACTAGCAGAGATCAAAGCTAGACAACTTTTTTTTTTCTTTTTTTTCTACATCTACATCTTTACTTATGTTTATCTTTCTGATCACCCCATGTGCTGTCGGACACCTACAGATTGCTATTTCTTTATTTATTTTGTTTTATACTAATTGCACAAGGAAATGCTGTTCTTATGTCAGGCTCTTAGCTGATTATAGGTCCTGTTTACTCACAGAAAGGTAATTTACTGCCTGCAGGGCACAACTCAGACATACTCAGGCTTCCTGGGTAGCTAAATGGATCATTCCATTCCAATGCTCATTCACTTACTGGCCTCTCTCAGATTGCTTGCAAAAGCACTTATCCTGCAAATGCTTACTCATGTAAGTAATAATACTCTAATTAGAAAGTAAGTGGGGTTTGGAGACATTAGGATTTTTTAAGTGAGTAAGCACTTGCAGGGCAAAACCCAAGGGCACCAGAAAAGATGATAATTTTCTGCATAGTACATTGTCTATTTTTATCTTTAAGTCTGGATCTTTACATAACCTTCTATGAAACTGTTTGAGATCTTTCCTAGACTAGCCAGGAAATCCAATGGACAGACATTCTTATGCTTCAAAGCATTTTCTAATGACTCCCTTTTCAAATGAAATGGAACATTAGCCTGAATTATAGCTGTGATATGTTTCTAAGTTCCTTTCTAAGCACTAAATTATACCATTTCAGTGACTGTCCTTTCTTCTGTCCCTCTGAATCTTAGTTCAAGCTTATCAAATAACTACTGTAACAGAAGCTGAGATCCAGGTTCATTACTTATCCTTTTAAAATTAGATTGTTTGCAAATTTCTTCCCAACTCATAATGACTCTCATGTGAACGTACTTTTTCATCTGCAAGGATGAAATAGTAGGGAATGGAGATGTGTCCATGCAGGGGTAGCTTTGCCACAAAGACTGAAAAATAGTCATCAAAGCACTACTTTCAGTTATTCCGTACGTGGAGAACTGAGCTACCCAGCCAGGCATTAACTGGTATGTATATGCTTGACTTGCTGCTGCTTCCATTACCACTCTTTTTAATAGTACTCTGGTTGCCTTTAAAAGCACATCCCTTGCAAGTATGCGTTCTTATCTCCAACTGTTCTTGTGATTTTAGTCTTCAGCTATTTTATTCCATCTGCAGTTTGTAAAGACTCTCTTAACTCAAACTCCAGAAACACTGAAGAAAAGGGCGATGTTTTGCCAGACCATATGTTCATAAATGGTGTATTTTATGCAGCTGATAATAAATATTTTAAGATATAGTAGCAAAAAAAAAGCACAAATGAACCTAACGTAAGCAGGCATATTTCCAGTGATTTCAGCACTTACATTAGAGATGAATTTAACTGCCTGTTTACAGTTAGGCTTGAGCCATGGTATTCAAATTGTGTAGTGGCGTTGACATTTGGTGTTGGGTTGGGATCTAGAGTAAAAGAGATTTTTTCAACTTTGCTCAGATTCAGAATTTTCTTCACTTTGTTTCCAGTTTTATTGCTTTGTGGAAGCATTAAAACCCTGATATAAAATGTTCACTAAAGTTTAAATGTCTTGCCCAGCATATGATGCTTTTCCTACATCAACAGCTTATTAAAGACATTGTTCACCCACAAATATTTTAATCCTCTTAATGAAAGATACAAACCTCTTGTACGTTTACTATTCTACATAAAAATACAACTATAGGCTATAAAATATATATCCCATTAACTCACAATGTGTAATGCAAGAGTTAACCTACAAGTCAACAAAACTTTTAGTTCTGCCTACTTAGTATGCCAGGGAAACATAAGTTATAGATTACCTCAGATAGTAAAAGCAGCAGTGTTTCCATTATACTTGCGAAAAAAACACTGTACTGGAGTTTATCTAAGGCTTGGTGAGAAGAGAAGAGATAGCTTGGAATGCCAGGCTCATAGTTCATCCTATTGTGCCAACACTTGCTTTCACTCCCTCTAGAAAGGCTCTTTCTGGGCTCTCTGCTTTCTCTTTTCTTACATGAAAAACTTGTGATTAATATTGACAGAGCTTACATTTTCAAAAATTTATTTTGATATTATTTCTTTACTAGGTATATTTATTTCCTTTATTTCCTATCCAGCTTCTACTCTGCCCTTTGCTCTATTGTTTTTTATGGCTATCAGAGATAAGAGATGGCTATTCTTGGCATTTTGTTTGTTAAAATTATTCTATACTAAATGAGATGATGTGTTAAAATGTCGTAAGCGGGCAAATATAACTCATTGATCAAATGATGTATATTGATGAATAGAGAAGAATTTACAGCATATCTGTCATTTTAAAAGCATAAAAGATATTTCAAAATCACAAAATCTATTAGTGATTTCTTAAAAATATATATATACATATATTTTCACCCTAGATTCTTAAAGAAGAGAGATTATGAACACACACAACACACCACACAACTGGTGATTGATCGTCATTTGGTAAGCTATAATCATCCTCCGTTGTCTGTATAACATTTATGTTTCTTGTCTGATTGCAGAGCTTATGTCTATGTGTTAGTCTATGGCAAGTCATTTTGTGATACCAGGAATTTTAATAATGGAATTATGAAAGGTTTCTGGAAGTACAGATTGTCCTTAATATTACAGCCGTATCTTTGTTCTTCTCCAGCACCGATTAGGGGATCCATAGAAACAGTTTTGATTTAATTCTGTCATTGATGTAGAATTGAACAGGGTTATTAAGGAAATAGCTTGCTGATATCTGTAGACAGAAAGTACTTCCAGAGTAGCTAAAAATTGTTAATGCTACTCACAACAGTAGCTAACTATTACTTCTTTAACTAATCAAAAACTTTGATGAACTTTCACAATGTTTGGAGATATATAAATATTATCACAATTTGGTTTAGCGAACAATGAAATACAGGGAAGTTTCGGTTTCTTAAATTTTCTTTATTCACACTGGGATTCCTGTGTGCCTCCAAAACCATGCTGCTTGGAGTACTGGGCTGAAAAGACTTGTTTTTGAAAAGAGAAGTGTGAAAAGAAAAATAAGTAAGAAAACCATGGTAGAGATGAGCTGAGGAGTACTCAGAAAATGCAAAATTTTTCAGAAAGATAAAAAAAATCCTGAAACATATCAGTTGCAGTCGGTACTAGCAATATTAATCCAGGGTCTTTGGTTATGCAGACTTAAGAAATGAAATCTTGGTCCTTGCTTAGTGAGTCACAAAAATCCTATTGACACTGGTAGGGACATTTCACTCAATGTCTTTCTGATGCAAATGTGATATAAAAACCAACCAACTCACATCGCACCCAGTGGGAGTTCTACCACTGCTATCACTGGCAACAGCACTGGAATTTTTTGCCTTTGGGCCATGAGTCTGAAATCAATGAGATTTCAGCTTTAAATTAGGCCATGTATTCCATACTCAGTCCTAGAGCAAATTTGCTACTATATAGGTTTGTGGGGTTTTTCTTTGATTTTATGACTACAGCAGGGTCAGATCCATACCTTGACACAGTAGTGAAACAATCAGTTTGTAGTGTGCACATTAAGACATGCATAGATCTTGTCTTAAGGATTTCATCAGTCTGAACTCAGTTTGCCTGTGATGTAGTTTGCTTTGGTCTCAGGGAAATGTAGATAGAGATAGACCTGGCCAACTTTTTTTTTTTTACGTAAGAGAAGAAGTAGGATTTTCTAAGTTAAGAAAAATTCAAAGAATTTGCTTGATAAGGGTTTTCAAATTTACTTTGAAAATATTAAACTAACACAGATTTGTATTCTGTAGCCAGAACTGAAGTTGAACATGTTGTTTTCTGTCTAAAATATTGAAATAAAAATGCTAGGGGCCCATCTTTTAACATACATGTAATTTATCTAAGCATAATAGCCTTGTTTTGAAGTGAAAACTTCAGTGTTATTGAGCTTTTATTCAAAGGAGAATATAGCCTAAAGGGTGTGCATCATACATCATTTCAAAAGCCCTAGCAGAATTTCTCACCGAGCGCCTTACAAATTATGCTCATTCTATTTAGAATACATAAATGGAAAAGTACAAAAAAGTTAGTATCTAATGAAATTGCCAGCATTTCAAATTATTTTTTTGTGAATGTATATATATGTGCACAGTCATTGTGACATTCAGCAGCATATTTTTATACAATGGAAATTTCATATATATTCATTTATCTAGTCATAAGATGACTATTCTTTACAGAAGTAGGTAGTGTTTTAGTACTTCCATTTTACTTTCAGTGCACTAATTTTCATTGCCATATATGCATTATCAAGTACTTCAGTTGTGTAGTTTGGCATTGTATATTAGAAGTATCATGTTTTATCACTGCTGTGATACAATTCCAATTCCAGCCTTTATCTAGTCCATACATTGCTATGCTGTGTCTCACACTGCTTACTGCTACTGGTTAGTGTGTGTGAAAGCCAGCTCAGCTCAGTTGTAGCTCATCTACATACACAGGGTATTTATAACATGTAGAAAAGTACCCAAACCATATAGAATCTCATTTTCTGTTGAAATAAGCCACTTCCAATATATACCTTCTATATTCTGCAGCAAAATTATGATTTGCAGAAGGATATCTGTACCAACTTCACTGTGCAATGTACTGTATATCAAAAACACGCTTGTGACGTATAGATCTTATATAAGCCTATAAACACTACATCATGTATATTTCTCTAAATCTATTCGTGAAAAGATTATTTGTCTCTGCTAAAATATCATATAGCAGTCTTTTCTTTGATGAAAAGTCCTTTGGCTTAAAGGTAATAGCAGAGTTAGCTGAGCCAAGGCTAAACAGAATTACCTTTCCAACAGAAAAAATAACATATAGCCATACTTAGGTAAAGGTTTACTACCCAACAGTGGAGGAGAGTTTATAAATTACAAATTTTATCTAGGTTATTTCACCACCTTCCAGTGTATGTTATCTCATGAATCCCAAGAGATGTGGCCAGCAAAGTAAATAAATGCTTGGGCAATTGAAAGTGCTAGTAAAAATCCGCAGTTGTGAGCTCCTATGACTCTATGGAAAACACGAGAAGCAACCCTACTTTGCAACTTAAATGTGTACTCCTGGATGCCTTGTGTGTGTTCTTAGCAAACGTTTAAACCTCAAGAACACTGTCATATAGCTCTTGGGTGTGCGTGAACATGGCAGAATGTGGTAGTGGAGTGTATTTGTACCACATAGCTGAAAAGATGAAGCAGTCGTGTATTTGGCTAAGCTGGGAGCTTGATCCTTCTAAGTCAGGTGTCAGAAGATATCAATTTCTGCAGAGACATTAGGCTGTGTCAATGGAAGATGAAGACAAACTTCATTCTAGGGGAAACTGTGGGCATTGCTACTATTTCCCGGGCTGGAAAGTGCACAGTTGGTTGTAAGACAAGTGCAGTAAAAAATGCCTTATCTGCCCAAGGGAAATTTATGGAGAAATGTGTTAATGTAATGAGATTCATCTGTAATTGACATATCAAAGATAAATGTCAACTTATCTATTTGTTAATGGATCTATTAAAAGCTTTGTTTGTACTCTGTCTTCTCTTTTTTCCTTGAATGCTTATACACAGATGGATTGTGCAAATAAATACTTTATTAAATGTAGGTCTGAGAGCCAATGGACGCTTTGAGTCCAGAATAATGTCAATTAACCCAATTTAATTGCTTTCTTGATCCAACTCTTATTTTTTATTTCAACTTTTTTTTTTTTTTTTTTTTTTTTTTTTTTAATATAAGACATAAGGGGCAGCCAGTAATTCTATGACTGAATTACTTTATACATCTTATTTTATTAACAAAAATACAATGTGTGCTCTCAAAATGGCACAGTACCATGGAATATAAAACACATAAAACTTGGTTAGAATGAGTCACTGAAGCCAAACAGTCAGGAACAGCCTAAGGTTTCCAAGCTCAAGTGAGCTGGTGAGGGGAGAAATAATCCAAAAAATCCTATTAAATTAAAATGATTTTGCTTAGGGTAAATTACCAGAAACATTTTTCCTACTGCTTAAAAGCTATGTTTCATTATCAGTAATTTGCAGATACTTTGCTTTTGTAGAACTACTGATTTATTTTGCTTCAAGTTGCAGCGTATACACTTAGTTTTGTCACTTTGACACAAAAAACATTTTGGTTAGACAGAGCTCTAGAGTACATAATAAGGAACTGGGTTTTCTCCACAACTCTTTAACACAGCAAGGATTAATTTGTAATTAGATATAACATATGCAGTAAAAATGATCCGTTTAATTTTTGGGAAAACAAAATGTTACTTCCATCGACCAGGAACCAAGTGCTGGAAGCTGCCACCAACTGGATCTTTTGTTACTTGGTGACTAAGACTAACAGATTGAATCTTCAGTTTGTTCTTGCAAGATCTTCTCAACAGATGAAAGATCCAGCGATTTCAAAAGATGCATCTAATCCAATTATTTTGAGAGCTATGTTATTAGTTTGTGATTAGTTTGTGCAATTAGTGATTAGTTTGTGCAATATTCTCACAAGTTTCAAGCTGTTATATATATTATATTTCAGTACCCCAAATTGTGACATTTTCTCACTTGCATGTTTCTCATTGCCTTTTGCAGGTGTATGTGATATTTTAAGCAATTGGATGAAACACTGTACATGGAGTTGCAGGATGAGGTAGAGGATTGATCATGTGATGCTATATTCCACTGTATATGGAGAATTGATTTTTAATTTTTCCCCCAGGATGAAAAGTAGAAGCCATACTTTAAACAATAGTTGCCAAATTTTAGTATGAATCTATGAAAATTTTAGGACCCAAACCATTATTTATCTGTTCTTTCAGGGTCTTAAGTACTCCTAAGTAATGAAGAGAATTTAAATTGCTAAAAATGAAAGGTGAAATGCTTTGTCATGGAGGCTTTTTCTGGTTGTTTTTTTTTTTTTTTTTTCCTTTTCTTTTTTTTTTTTTTTTTTTTCATTTCAACTTTGTGAAATCTTCAACAGCTTCCAATAAACCCATATCATTTGAACAGTTTCAATATCTGTGAAAATCCACCATTTTCCATTAGGCAAATAGAAGCCTCCTCTACTGAAAAACTGTGATTTATTTAGCACTATATCTCCAATGCCTCTCTCTAAAGATTTGTTTAATTATTCAGTTCATCAGAAAAACATTAAAATAATAGCTTAAAGAAACATAAATCCTCACTTGGTTTTCTCATGCTCATTGAAGTTAATGGGACTACATGCTTAAGCATATACTCTATATCTTTCTTTTACATTTTGCAGGTCAGAAAGGCAGGGGGATAATATTTAACCAAGGAAGTGAGTTCTATTTCAAACTTCCACTGCAATATTATGTCTAATATTGAAGGAAATTATTTAAAAACTGTTGGCACTAAGTCTGCATTAAGCATAATTTCTAAGCCACAAAATAGTCTGTAAAATTTTTTGGCACATTAAACTCAGAGTAT